ATTTACCATTTTGTATTGACAATCGCAATTTTTAAATTTTGTAGTTATGGAACAACTACCAAGGCTGTAACATTCATGGAATGGGAATACTGCTGGGTTCGGGGACCTGTTGGAGGTGACCAGGGGGTGCTACCTGATGGTTTTCCTGCCTGGGGCACATTCGATTGTTGCTTCATGATGATGCCATTTTCATAAGTTGGGATTCTTCTTGTGGGGGACACATGACCCAATGGCATCTCACTTAGACTCTTCTTAATTCACACAAACTTAAACTCTAGTTGTATTTCCTGAGGTTGAGAGAAAATGAAGACAGCACTTCACATACCTGTTTTGGGCTCCTCCCCATTTTTCCTAATTCTGCACAGAAATTAGAAACAGGGAGTTCTTTCTATATTTACTAACATAACACACATCACTTCTTTTAATTCAACATCATTCCTCCCTTTATGTAATTGACACACTAACCAGTTCTGTCCCTTTAACGGGAATCTTTCTACTCAAGGACTTGCTAATTTCAGATCACCTTTGGCATCTTTCTTTCAGCATAATGTGATCCTGCTGAATTCACCCCACACTTAAACCTTAATTGGGTATCAAGAGAAATACTACTACCAGCAATTGATCTTAGATACTTGGACCATCAGTAAAAATTTCCACTGATGACAACCTTTTAATGTTTCCTTCAAATTTTGTTTTGTTTTGTTTTGTTACTAGAGTCACATCATAACATGAGGTCTAAAATCCTGACAACTTTTTATGGGGAAATTACAATATTACAAATTGAGCATCCCAAATCCAGAAATCCAAAATCTGAAATGCACCAAAATCCAACACTTCTGACCACTGATGTGGTGATAAAAGAAGTGCTCAATGGAGCATTTTGGATTTAAAATTTTTCAGATTTGGGATGCTAACCCAGTACATCTACTGCAAATATTCCAAAATAGAAAAAGTTAGAACTCCAAAACACCTGGTTTTAAGCTTTCTGCATAAGGAACACTTTATCTGTATGAACTATAGGTATGAAGCTCTACAGGAGATCTCTGGAACCTCCTCATCCTGCATAACTGAAAGCTCACACCCACGGAACAATGCTCTATTCCCCTCACCCAGCTCCTGGAAACTACTATTCTACTCTCTGATTTACTCTGGAATCCACTGAGATGAGGTACATCGAGTAGTCAAATTCACAGAATCAGAGAGTAGAATGTCTATGACAGAAAGTATCTGCAAGACTTCTTCCCAAATATTAGTCTAATAGCCACCAAACACAAACGGTCCATGAGGGCCAGACTTCCATCATCAGTTCATGCTCGCCCTTTCCACCAGTCAGTTCTGCATTTGCAAAAATCCACATGTATTTCTAGAAAGATCCACACGGTCCTCACCTGCCCTTTACAGCAGGAAGAGCAGGTGAGGGCATGGACACAGGACAGGGAACATGGTCTTGGTCCAAAGCTGTCAGCTCTTGCCTGTCCCCTTCACTCTTTGTAGCTCATTCCTTGGACTCTGCTCTATCTTTAGAGGTCGCTGGCTCAAGTCAGTCACTGAGAGACAGCTAGGAAAACTGCCCCAACTTGTAGCTCCACTCCCTGATGACTAAATTGACCTCCAGGCTTGACTCTGGTCTCCCCTGTGTTATTTCTGCTGAAGTACCCAGTCCCAGGCCAGTTTTCCCACTACCCAAAGGGTTTAAGAACAATGGGAAGTTCCATCATCCATCTCTAGGATGCCCTTGGAAAGGGAAGCTGCAGGGAAAACATACCTTGGGAGCAAAGTAAGATTGAAACTAAGAAGATTCTAGCACTGCATGCTCCTGGTGAGGATCACAAGGTGGGCCAGGCAGGCAGTTGGAGAGGGAGGGACACAGAGAGGCACCAGGGGCTCTGACTGCTGGACCCACGTTTTTCCATGATGCAATGATGCTGCTCAATTCACACTTGAGAAAGTCTGTGCTTCTCCCACATACAGAAGGCAGCCTCACAATCTCTGAGCCCTCAGATTGCTATGCATCTGTCTTGTAACACACACATCTGCCATGGATTTTTAAGGACTTGGGTGGGCTGAATTGGGAAATGCCATCTCTGATTGAAAAATGTGTTTGGAGGAATCAAAGGTGCCACACAGGACAATCTTCTCTCTGTTATCTGCACAGTGGAGACTCCCAAGCCCTACATCTCCAGCAGCAACTTAAACCCCAGGGAGGGTAAGGAGACTGTGATCTTATCCTGTGATCCTGACACTCAGGATGTCAGCTACCTGTGGCGGATAAATGGTCAGAGCCTCCCTATCAGTCACAAGTTGCAGCTGTTCAAAAACAACAGGACCCTCGTTCTATTTGGTGTCACAAAGGATACGGCAGGACCCTATGAATGTGAGATGAAGAACCCACGGAGTTCCAGCCGCAGTGATCCAGTCACCTTGAATCTCCTCTGTGAGTATCTTCTGTTCCTCTGTGAGCCAGGCTGCCATCCCAAATACACATGGCCAGAGGCCAGGCCTCCCAGTCCTTCCCAGGTACAAGTACAGAGACCCTTCTCCCCAGACATCAAAGCTGGCCTTGAGTCCTAAGAGTAGGCTCAGGCTTGATCACCAATGGGAGAGAAGAGGCTGCTCCTGTCATGAGAGACTCAGGGACCAAAGCTTATGATGGGAGAAGTAGGTGAATGTCTCAGGCTCCTGATCAGTGAACACAGCAGGGATTTGGCTGGGACTTCAGTGTTGTGACTTAGCTCACAGGGTCACCGTGGCCCTTCCACAGACCAGGATTTTCCCTTCCCTCTGACAACATCAGCTGTGATTTTATTCTCTTTGCTCCAGATGGCCTGGACGCTCCCACCATTTCTTCTTCATACACCTATTACCATCCAGGGGAACTCCCCAAGCTCTCCTGCCTCACAGACTCTCACCCACTGACAGAGCATTCTTGGCTGATTGATGGGAAGTTCCAGCAATCAGCACAAGTGTTCTTTTTCCTCCAAACCACTAAAACATAGAGAGGGGTCTATGTCTGTTTCGTGCATAACTCAGTCACTGGTGGAACAAATCTCATAATCAAAAGGATCGTAGTCCCTAGTAAGTGGATCCCTGGAGCACTGGCAATATGTTTTCCAGTGAAGTCTATCTGGCTATCAGGGAAGAGCCACCTGCCCTCTGCTAAGGGAGAGGGAAAATCAAAAACCCAGGACAGGGAATATGTTTCTGCTCGAAAACCACGAGCTTTTGCCTGTGCCCTTCACTCTTTCTAGATCATTCTCTAGACTATACAGTAACAATCAACAATGTGAAAGGAAATTCAGAAAAGAATTTCCATTCTCACTAACATCAAAAGGAATAAAATATTTTGGAATAAGTTTAACCAAAAAGGTCTAAGGGTTATACCCTGAAAACTACAAAACGTTACTGAATGAAATTAAAGACGACATCAATATGTGGGAAGACATTTCATTTTCATGGATTGGAAAAATCAACATTGTTAGGATGACAATACTACCCAAAGAGAGCTGCAGATTCAACGCAACCCCTACCAGAATCCCAGTAACATTTTTTTGCAGAATTACGAAAATCTGTCCTAAATCTGACCTGATAGGCTCTTATTGATGACTACCACAACAGAGACACTGAGAAAAAGATGCAAACATGGAAAGGTGGAAAGTGTTGACGACATAGAAAATAGCAAT